ACTGGTCTAAGATGGTGAAGCCCCTTCCTCTGTGTCTGTCTTTAGTCCCTCCCCTTCATGCAGTTAAGGCTGACTGATTGGGTGGGAGGGATGACTGTCTCCCTCTGTCCCTCCCCTCCTACCGAGAGTCTTAGGATCCAACCAGTTTGAAGTAAAGGGGCTGGGGGAGCTAGAGAAGAAGACATCCATCTGTTGCTGGTCATTCAGAGGTCAAGCCTGTCCAACAACAGGATCCCTCCAAAATGGTCTTTGTCCCACCTTAACTACTACTGAACCTGTTGCTAAATTTTCCAGCACACCATTGGTACTATGAAAGGATTTTTAGTTAGAAGCCGAACAGGAAGAAAAACAGAACCAAAAAGGGCCTAGATGTATCCTTGAACCTCAGGACAACACTGTAAAGTGTGGCTGTTCCCCCCTTAGTTTATAGGCATGGAATCAGAGTCTCCATGAGGCTGAGATCTGGCAGGATTGGAGTTGGGGTTTCCTGACTTCAGTCATCCTGCCTCAGAGGCTACAGCTACTGAGAGAAAAAGACCCCCATTTAGAGAGGAAGAGAAGGCTAGCAGGGGGTGCAGGGGAGAGCCAGCCACAGAGGAGGACAGAGCCCAAAGCCTGGGGCAATGGGGACAACCTGGGGAAGGCAGGAAGAGCGATCAGTGGAGTTCCCAGAAGGATCCATGGGCTTACACACTGCACCCAGCTATGCCTTGTAGTAAGACTGACGTAGACCACAGCCAGTGTTTCCTGAGGGCAAGAGAAGATGTGAGAATTCATGCAAACACAGCCAGTGTGAGGGTGGAGGCAGGAAGCCCTGAAGAGGACCAAAGAGAGAAGGCAGGAACAGTACCATGGTCACAAAGGAGAGGCCTTGTCCCTACTGCCCTCCACTGCCTGGAAAACTCAGCACTCGGGCCTCACCTTGGGTGAAACGCACTGCTGAGGGCAGAGGGAGCTTCCAGGTCTGAGCCTCCCTAAGGCTGGAGCTGACCTGGGGTGGGCTGTGTCTGAGGTGGAGCCTCCCTGGGGTCATGTGTCATGGTATACTACAGGGGCGTGGTCTCTTTCCTTTACTGTTATAGGAGTTCCCACGTTTTGGACCCTGCCTTGTGCCAGACATCACCTTGACAGTGCTTGACATCATTTTTTTAATTGTATTTATTTTTATTTTATGGGTGTGAGTATATTGCCTGCATGTGTATAAGTGCACCTGTGCCATGCAATGCCTGTGGAGGTTAGAAGAGGGTAAAGAGGCCGTCGGATCCCCCTGGAACTGGAGTTCAGGATGGTTGTTAGTTGCCATGTGGGTGCTGAAAATCAAACTCAGGTCCTCTGCAAGAGCAGCCAGTGCTATTAACAGCTGAGCCACCTGTCCAGCCCTCACATCATCTATTCTTTAAGCCCTATAACCCACTGCTGATTGATGGGAGAATGAAGTCAGAAAAAAGGGCTAACTTTGGGACACAGAGCCGGGCAGGGGCATGCAAGGGAGAGAGGCAGGCACCCCACTGATGGGGTTCATACACCCTATGGATTCCTGCTGCCATTGGGGCAGAGTCCTAGGCTAGAGCACCAGCCCTCTGATGAATCAGGGAGACTTGCTGAAGGATCGTGGTCTTAACCCCTGGGGAAGGAGGTGGGGTGCTAGTTAAAATTGCTCAGCATCGTGGTGTGCATTCTTGGAGACCATCATGCAACAGGCTGAAAGTGAGGCCTAGAATTTGCATTTTTAAGGCATCTCTAGTTCTGAGGTACCTTGAGCTATTCAGAGACACCAACCTGAAGGGTGAGAAGGTGGGGTGTGAAACTTTTCTTTAAGAGAAGGAGCTTGGGTCTGTGAGCGCCTGCTTTCTTACTGTGTGGATGTGGATTCGGTAGGTATAATGTTTATGGAGTTGTCTTGCTGGAAGATAAAGAATAAAGCAGTTATGTGCATGATTACACTTAATTATTATGTTGCAAATGTATGGTTAAACTTGATAAAGATTACCTTACAAAAACTCTTATTAAAAGCTCCCTGTTATTTACTATTAATTACATGGTGGGAGTTTCCTTGGGAATGTATTCCTCCCTTCACTGGATAGAAAAGTTCTAGCACTTGCTGTGTGCCTGGCCCTGTGCTGGAGGTTGTACAAGAATCACAGCTCAGGGAGCTGACCACTGCCTTGGTGGACTTCCCTGTCTGGCTCTGGAAACTGACTAAATAAATCTTTAACCATGTACATTTTGGTTTTGCATAAATTCTTATTAATGAAACTATCTCTTAAATTCATTACTAAATGTGATTTATTTCTGGAGCTATGGTCCTCTCCCAAGAACCACTCCTGTGAGCTAGGGTTGTTGTCCCCTCCCTTGAGCCTGAACATGAACTGGAACTGTGGACCCCTCCTGTGAGAGGGAGCTGTGGTCCCCTCTTGTGAGCTGCTGGAGCTGTAGTCAGCCTTAGGCTTCCCCACCCACTGTGAGCAGGAGCTGTGACCCCACCCTGGGAGCTGAAACAGTGGTTCCCTCTTGTGAGCTGGAGTTTTTGTCTCCTCTGGTGAACCTGGAACTGTGGTTCCCTCCTGTGAGCCTGGAGCTGTGGTGAACTGGAGCTGTGGTCCCATCTTGGGAGCTGAAGCAATGCCACCTCCGTGAACGAGAGTTATGGTCTCTTCCTGTGAACTTGAGCTGTGGTTCCCTCGTATGAGCAAGAGTTGGTGAGCTGGAGCTGTGGTCCCCTCCTGTGAGCTGGAGCTGTTGTCCCTCACATGAGTGAAGCTTTGGATCTACTGTGAGCCACAGTTCTACATTCCTCTGGTAGGAGGCTCATGGTGGAGCAGAGTAGAGCATGGAGGACTTCCTGATGTTGGACAGTAGTTTCAGTCTTCTCTGAGTGACTACATTCCCCACAACCTCCTCCCCTGACATCTCAGGTTGTGCGTGGCAGAGGCTCTGCCTCATGCTGGGAACAGGGGAAGCCTCTGTTATTTGCAGATTGTGGTCTTGGGAGAACTGATTCTCTGGAGTGGACCTCCCCACATCCCCTGAGGCCCAGCTGTGGTTCTCACTCTACACATGGTCCGGGCTATCCAGGCCTTGATGTTGGAGCTCTCCCATCACCAGGCACTAAGAGATATTCCATTATTTTTCTGTTACTCTTCTACAGCCCCAGTGTACCTTCACCTATGCCCTAACTGAACTTCTGTGGATAAAAATTACAGCTTGGGAAGTTAAAAAGAAGAAGAAATCGAAAGTACTATAATAACTAAACCAATAAAATCCTCAAACTAAAAATATGTAATTATGGCTTAGACTATAAATTCAAAATAGTGTATGTCTGCTATAATTTTTGAATATTGTTTACTGACAAAACTGCACTACCAAGCTTCAACAATAATGTGAAATTTGTCACTGTTGAAAAAATGTTTATAAATATGCATATATTCACATATAAACAAATACTAAATAAAAGAAAATCTTTATGATACCACATTATTTTTTACTTAAAATTAATTGAAATACAGATTAGGAATATTCTGGATACCCTCTAACAAATAGAATGGATTATTTTATAAGCCCTATACAAAGTTGGAGTATAGTTTTTTTTTTCTCCCACTGGTGAGTTAAAACTTTTGAAATGTTTTGAAGATCTACTGGAGGCTGGAGAGATGGCGCAGTGGGTAAAGTGCTTGCTGAGCAAGCATGCGGAGATGAGTTCAGATCCCTAGGTGACTGCTGTTGTCTGCAACTCCAGTGCCTTGGTGCGAAGACAGGTAGATCCCTGGGACTTGCTGGCCAGGCTGTTTAGCCAAAATAAGGAGCTCCTAGTGCAGTGAGAGGCCCCATTTCAAACAGTAAGATGAAGAAGAGACTGAGGCAGACATCCCGTCAACCTCTGGCCTCCACATACACTGGCATGGGAGAGCATATGTGTATGTCTGCACATACAGAATTTAAAGATATGGTGACTTCACACAGAGGTTAATTGTCTGTGAAATGTCCAACCCTAAGTGACACATCTACAATGGGTCCTCTACACCTAAGGCTTACGGAACCTGTGGAACAAGGGGTTAGAGAAAATACTAATGCATTAGCCTTTCAACCTTCATCAATAAAGCTCCCTCATTCAACAGAGGGCAATGAACACAAAGGCCACAAATGGCCAAAACGTAGAGAATAAGAACCTGCAGAGTGTGGGTCCTTGGACAGGACTCCCATATTAAACTTTACCCATCCAGGGCTCAGGAACCATTGTGGAAGAGGGGCAGAAAAATTGTAAGAGCCAAGGGAGGAGGTGGGTGACCACATGGAGCCTTACAGGCTCCTGGGACCTTGTGCATATGAGCTTACAGCAATGGTGACAGCATGCACAAGATCCATGCAAACACAAGCAGACAAAACCCCGCATAAGAAATGGGCAGCAGGCCCCGATCTTAGCCAAAGAGCTACTGGGCAGCTGATTACTGCTGGGTAAGGAAGAGCTAATCTTCTTTACGATAGTGACTCTAGATAGGCCGACTAAGACTCCAGTGGATGAACTTGCACTGAAGAACATCAGGGGATACTAACTTGACTTAATAGGCCTTAACATGAATGACAGAATGCATGAAATCCAGTGTGTGTAGGGGGTTTGGGAGGGTGCCGATGGGGAAGGGAGTATAAAGATGATTAAGATGAGATTCACAAAAATTCAGTTAAAAAACTTTTTTAAAAAAAGGAATGTCCTCAAAGTAAAAATTAAAAAAATAAAAAGGTACGGTGACTTTTTAAAAAAGTTCCCCACATGCTCTCTCTGTCCTGTTGTTTATGGATATGACACATTAGTAAAGTGGTACTGGGGGCTTTTGAGCATGACCTGAATGTCTTATTTCTCACAGAAAGGGCAGAAAATTCAATGCTTAGTGGCCTCAGTGCATCTTCCTGCCATCTTGTCTGAAAGTTGCCAACCTTCTATGAGAGGAAAAAAAAACTACTGAAGAACAGAAGGATCCTCCTTGACCTTTGCCCCTGGCTCTTAGCGTTGCAGGTGGTGAGCTGTTTGACTTCCTAGCTGAGAAGGAATCTTTGACTGAAGAGGAAGCAACTGAATTTCTCAAACAGATTCTTAATGGTGTTTACTACCTCCACTCCCTTCAGATCGCCCACTTCGACCTTAAGGTAACATTGCTGGAAGCAGAAGCCAGATGGAAACTTATACCAGCCACCTCCTTCATGGCTTGATGTCTAAGAGAAGTTGAAGCACAGGAATGAAACATATTTTCCCCCTATATGGGTTTAACAAATGGAGCCTTAATATATAAATCTTTAAGTATGCAATGTATGCCTCCCTCTGGAGTGCTTTGCTTTTCCATTTTGTGGGATAGAGGCTTGATTCAAACAGTGGTTAGACTCTAGAATCCTAGGGGAAACTAGCCTGGTCCTTAAGCAGCTGGGCTGCTCTTGGAGCACTTTCTTCTGGGGTGGCTGGTTGCTGGCACAGCTTTCATCTGGGGCGGCTGTGGACATCGTGTGGATGGCGTCTTGAGTTTCTATCCTCCTGATTAAGACTGGACCTGACCCTGTCCTTTGTTAGCAAGCAAACACAACTCTGACGTTGACTGAATAGCACCTTTGCCTGGCTTGAGGCAAGGATATATGGGAGATTAAAAGTGTATAAGTCCTATTTCCAGCCACCACGGAGGGATGCTCTGTTTGGAAATGAAGGCAGAGAGGGGTGACAGGAAGTGACAGTGTGATATTGACTGGAGATGAAACATAATCTGGTATATGCCGTTAGAGCTAGAACCAGACTTCAAAGTGTCCATTTTCATTGTAGCAGAGCCATCAAGTTCCTGGGTGTCCCCCCCAGTCCTCTCTGATGCACACAGTAAGGTGGCTCTTTACAAACCTTCACCTGTCTGCTTGATGTTCTGTTTCTGGCCCTGGGAGCTGGGAGTGCCCACGAGTCAATGCTCTTGGGACGGCCATCAGTACTAGGGGATAGGAGATGGCAGGTGCAGGCTTGCCCATGCTTCAGTGGGGTTTTCCCCAAGTTCTGCTGTTTCTCCCCCATGTTGTCCAGAAGGGCTGTGCACTCATCGCCCTTGCCATCCTAAGATACCTTGTTATACCTGCTTCCTCTATTTCCGGCCTCCCCTTAGCAAGTGCTTCCTGACCTAATTATTTTCTTTTCTTTTTTCAAATTTTATGTGTATTAGTGTATTGCCTGCATGTGTGTAAGTGCACCCATGTTGTACAGTGTTGCCCTTGGAGGTCAGAAGAGGGCGTCAGATCCCCTGCAACTGGAGTTACAGATGGTTGTTAGCTGCCATGTGGGTGCTGGGAGTCGAACCCAGGTCCTCTGCAGGAACAGCCAGTGCTCTTAACCGCTGAGCCATCTCTTTAGCCCCATGACCTCCAATTCTTGTCTCAGGCCTGCCTCCTGGAGAACCTAAAGCCAAACAGCTATGCGCCCCGGCCTTCTTTCACTACCCTTCTCTAGTTTTTTGTCATTTTTTTTAAGGAATGACAGAGAATTGTGCTGCTTTGTCGTCTTCAGTGTCACATCACAGCTTTTTTACCTCTCTCTCTCCTTTTAAGCCTGAGAACATAATGCTTTTGGATAGAAATGTTCCCAGACCCCGGATCAAGATCATTGACTTTGGCTTGGCCCATAAAATTGACTTTGGAAATGAATTCAAAAACATATTCGGGACACCAGAGTTTGTGGGTAAGTTTTACTTGCTCTTGGGGACATTTGTGTCTCGCTCACATTCCCCTGGCAGAATCTCCCTGGCTGTGAGATCATTCCCTGGTCCCTGTTTCTGGTTTTTGCATGAAGATAGAATCTCTTGGCCTGCAGCCTTCCCATGCTAAATGAGTATTTATTTCCTCTCAGCTCCTGAGATAGTCAACTATGAACCCCTTGGTCTGGAGGCGGACATGTGGTAAGGAGCATGTCCTTGCTGGTGTTCTCTCTCTGATTTAGTTTTCTGTTTTCCTAACCTGTCCCTGTTTTTATTTCCGTGTGTAGGAGTATTGGAGTGATAACCTATATTCTGTAAGTACTGACTCTATGATCCCTGTACCTCCTTGTCTTTGAGACCATATGTGTAGTTTGCCATCAGACGTGTTGTCCCCTTCGCTCCTCATGGAAACATGAATCACACACCTCAACACATGTTTAGTTTATGCTAATTGGGTTTTTCCTCCCAATTCACAATGAATCATCAGAAACTGTAGTGCAGTCATGGTAAGAAAGCATGGCAGCTCATCACCAAGAACATAGGAGGAAGAGTTTGATTTTAAACTACACACTGATTCAAATGAACTTGTGCATGTGCGTATGCATGCACCTGTATGATGTTGTATTTGTGTATATTTTATATACTTATTAATGCACGTGTGTGTATGATTACTCCCCGCTTTTATTTATTTATTTATTTTTGAGACCGTGAAGCTCATCGATTTGATTGGCTAGTCAATGAGCTTTAGGACTCTGCCTGTCTCCATCCAGCAGTGCTAGAGTTACAGGCACTCACCACTGTCCCTGGTTTTTAACCTGGGCACTGGGGATCTGAACTCAGGTCCTTAGGCTTGTTCGCTTTATATATATACTGAGCCGTCTCCCCAGTCCCACATGAACTTTTTACAGGAATCATTTGTACTTGTGTTCATGACTGTTAAGTGTTCTGTGCAATGTGATTGAATTCTGAAGAGACTGTCACACCAGACTCTAGTCTCATTTGGTGTTTGCCACATGAGATCCGGAAGCCCTGATGACACATGGCAATTGTTAATGTTCTGTGCTCCATTTTATTTTACCAGCCTAAGTGGGGCTTCCCCATTTCTTGGAGACACTAAACAGGAGACATTAGCAAATGTATCTGCTGTCAACTACGAATTTGAGGAAGAATTCTTCAGTAATACCAGTGTCCTTGCCAAAGATTTCATCAGAAGACTACTGGTTAAGGATCCAAAGTAAGTGCCCCTCTTTCTGTGAGACGCAGCCTCAGATGGCCTAGAGCCACACAAGCACCTGTTCTGCGTGTGGCCACCTTGTCAGACCCTCGCAGAAGGGAAACATGCCACGGCAGGGAAGTGCTTCGGAAGATGCCCTCACTGTCCTTCATATGCGTTCACTCAGCCCGTCCAGAAAGAAAGAATTGGAAGACCTGTGTTCTCAGTACTTTTTATACGGGTTCTGGACTGCATTTTCCAGAGTGTCTGCTTCGTAGGCATAAGGAAACAACCTTAGTGTTGCTGAAATGGTCATGTGATTTTTAATTTTTTTTCCTTTTCTCTCCCCCAAAGGAAGAGAATGACAATTCAAGATAGTTTGCAGCACCCCTGGATCAAGGTGAGCTGCATAATATGTTGTAGTTTTAATCATTTTTTTAAAGTCATTGGTTTGGGAACGATAGGTCATGCCTGGAATGTTAGTTTGGTTACTGATGCTCTATTTTAAGATAAACTGATGGATTGGAGTTTATCCTAATGATCACAGAGTTAGGGGGAGAAAAACGAGTTGTTAAGAGCAGGGCTGGAAGAGGTCCACTTAGCACGCTTGCCTTAACCTGTGGTAACAGTCCAAACAGTATTTTTCTTTTGGCTTTTTTTTTGAAATAGGGTCTCCCTGTAGCCCCAGCCGGCCTGGAACTCACTAGATAGACCAGGCTGGCCTTGAACTCACAGAGGTCTGCCTGCCTCTGCCTCCCAAGTGCTGGAACTACCAGCATGCACCACCACGCCTGGCCCAAGCAGTATTTTAAAATTTGAATTCATTTCCATCATGTAGATATAATATAGGACTCTAAATTCTCTTGAAAAAGCTGAAGGCCTAACAGCACCAAATCCTCACTGTACATGTATATGGGAAATGATAGAACACTTGACCCTGACATATGACACCTTTACATTACCTACCCTGTTGGTATTTGGGTTAAGGAAATTGAATTTGCTTCAGCCTGAAATAAAAAGGACTAAGCTAAGATTGATGAATGTGTTAGCTTTCTGTCACTGTAGCAAAATACCTGGGGGAAGACAAACAAAGAAACAGAAAACCACCTTTTTAAGGAGGAAAGGCTTATTTGGTCCATTTCAGATGTTGTAGTCCATGGGCAGCTGGCTCCATTGTGGGGACTGTGGTAGTTTTCGTGTATCATAGCAGCCCGCATGTAGCAGAGCACAGCTGCTCACCTGGGAAGGAAAGTGAGGGTACGGGGACAAAGGTTCCAATATCCCCTTCAAGGATTTAAATTCCTTCCACTGGGTCCTACCACTGCAATGTTCCACCACCTCCCAGTAATAACACCAGCTGGCCACCAAGCCTTTGGCACAAAGAGATGCTGTGGGACATTTAAGATCCAAACCATGAGAGTATCTGATCATAATGGCATTACTGAAGGCCTGAGCCCCAGCTCTCAGGGTTATACCCATACCTAAAAACATCACCAAACAAGATACAGTGAAGGCATTTGAGTGAGGTTAGGATGGGCCACATTTCTACATTGCTGGTGTTCATCCTAGCTGGAAATTACTTAGTGATACTCAAGTTCAAATGTGTCATAACCTAACCTCCCCATGAATCTTGCCATCCCCAAGCTATCATTATGAAAGACTGTAACTGAGTTCAGCTATAAGCTTACCCTCTGCCCCAGATGCTGTCTCTGTGGATTATATCAAACACTCAGCCGTTAAGAGTTAACTGACTGAGCATAGGTCTTCCTAATTGTTTCTATTTTAGCCAGGCTGACCTGTCTTGAGATGTAGCTGAGGATGACCTTGAAATTCTGATCCTCTGTCTCCACCTCCTGAGTGCTGGGATTACAGTCATGAGCCATCATTTCTGATTTATGTTGTGCTCGGGATCAAACCCAGACCTTGGGTACGTTGGGCCAGCACTACCACCTGAGCTACATCCCAGCCTAGTTGCTGGGTCTTTAATGTTTTGCCACTTTTCTGCTGTTTTAGATGGTGAATGTATAAGTCCATTATAATAATCAGGAGTCCTAAAATGGTGTTTAACTCATTTCTGTAATTAGAGAGCTCTAATCTTTTTTCTTGAATTTTCATTTTAGCCTAAAGATACACAACAAGCACTTAGTCGAAAAGCTTCAGCAGTAAACATGGAGAAATTTAAGAAGTTTGCAGCTCGGAAAAAATGGAAAGTATGATGCTTTGATGCAGAGCATTAAATTCTGTTTCCTCTGCTTTGGTCGGGGCTCACGTGCTCTCATGCTGGGAATTGGGAGCTGCATCCATTTAAAAACAATCCACTCCGTAGTCGTCTGCCGTTAAAGACAAGCAAAGCCTTACCTCGGTCCTATTTAATTCGTTCTTCCAAGTGTAGTTTTGCACGCTCTTTTCTCAAAACCGTTCCCAAGGCAAATTTTGAAATCAGTACAATAAAACTACAGTGAAACCTTTTTCTAATGATGAACAAACCACATTGTGACTTTTTTCTGATAAGGTGTGTATTTGTATCAGAAGCCTACCTTCTGCCATGCAGGGTTTCAGGACTGTGGGTAGAGCTGGGATGGACCACCCTTGCAAGGTGGTCTCTTCTTCCTCACTGTGGTGCCTTCCCTGTGGCCTCTGTGGGACACTGGTTCAGGCATCCTCGAAGCAGTCAAAACTCAGGGGTCAGAAGGTGTGGCTTCCTGTATCCAAGGTTATGTCAAACTCAGAGGGAATACTGTCACATTTCTCAGCCCAAGTCCAGCGGTGTAACTCGTTACACTCAAGTTTGGACTAGACTCTCCAAAAGGCCTTTAAAGCCAAGTCTGAAATCCTTCTCCCCAACCGCGTTCTCTCCCTCTTTCCCTCTTCTCTGTCCTCCTCCTCCTCCCCACTCCTCCCCTCCCTCCCTCTGTCGCTCCATCCCTCCCTCCTTTCTCCTCCTCTTTTCTTCCTGCTCCTTCCCATGTTCTCTTCCTCTTTCCCTCCCTCCTTTCTCCTCTCTCTGGTCCTCTTCCTGCTGCTTCTGCCTTTGAGGGGAGACCTTTGTACTATAGACCAAGGTGTCCCCTACCAGTTCATTTAAACATCTATATGTATTTTGATAATCACATTATCTTCATTTAATGCTTGCTTGGGCCCAGAGGGCTCAGAACAAGGCCCTTACACTGCAGGCTTGTCCCAAGGATGCCTTGCAGGGAGGGGTATAGAGAACAAAGCTGAGAAGAGACAGGATGTGAGGCAGCTGCATCTGTAGGCCAGCAGTCAATACATGAGAGTCTCTCCTCTTGCTGTTTGGATTTATGACCTTTAGCATACTTCCCTAAGCAAACAGCTCAGTCTGCTGTGGGAGTGTCCGCTCCAAAAAGGTCTGCTGTCTGTGGGCAGCAAGTGCTGTGTTGCCTGATCTGAGCTTTGTTCATGAGGTGTCTTTGTTCCACCCCCTGACTTTTTATGTCTGTTTTTTTTTTTTTTTTTTTAAAGCAATCTGTTCGCTTGATATCACTGTGCCAAAGATTATCCAGGTCGTTCTTGTCCAGAAGTAACATGAGTGTGGCCAGAAGCGATGATACTCTGGTAAGCAGTCCTGTTTGCCTTGGCCAGCCTCTCTGTGTTATATGGTTAGAATGTTTACATTGTTCTGTTTGTCAGCAATCCAGGAAACCTCCCATCCTGGAGCTGTCAGACCTACACATACTCCTCCTGAGGTGTGGGATTAGGGAGGCTGGTCTGTGTACCCTATCTTCTTCCCTCTTCACTTCGATTTACTTGGTACTATCTCCACTGCCATCCCTACTACCTCTGACCCTAACCTTCCCTCATATACACAGTCATGCACACATGAGCACATGGACACACACATAGACATACACACAGACACACACGTAGAACCAGAGAGATACACAGACATGCAGAGACACATGCACATGGAAAGACTTACACTGATTCTCATGAATGAAAATGAGAGGTGTGGTTGCCGCTGACAGGAGAATGTAGAATCACCGTGGTACAAAAGGGACAGACGTCCTTATCTTCTTCCCCCACCAATGTCAGGGGAACACAGTACTGCTGTCTCATGGTAGACCAGAAGGCCATACACTTGGTTTATTGACATTGTCTTGACTGTCCAAAGCCCTTGGGAATAGCACCACACTTTCCCCCAAGTCCAAATTGAAACCCAATCACCGATGAGCTCTCCAGATACAACTGAACACCTCTGAATTCAACGAGACTCTCCCTGGCCAGTCATACAACAGGGCTTTGTTAACTCTGGATGGGAAGGGGACTCCAGGAAAGGCAGACATGGTGGTTCTGTGGGAACCACCCTGGCCTGTAACCCAATAGTTGGTGTTTCCTGGGTGGAGCTGGGGACTCCAAGGGCAGGATCAGCAGACACTAGTTCTTTTTTTTTTCTCACTGAAGCTAGTCTCTTCACTAAAGCCCTAGATCTAGTCTCAGTTGTAGAGTGAAAGGGGAGATTTTTTATTTTTTTTTTTCAAAAGCAGTCAGAGAAAAGTTAAGCCAGGAGGAGAAGGGAAAGAAAGAAGAGGAAGGCTTCCTTGGGAAGAACATGAGAGTGATAGAGGAACCACGGAAAAGATGGCAGCTATGGGTCCAAACAGGACAGTGAGAATGACTAAGCCTCATGAATTACCATCCTGAATAGTGGGAGGAGTGCGTGTGTCACGGTGCAAGTTAGGGGAGAGAGAGATCTCCTCACCTGCTCTGCATTCTGCTAACCACAGGTGTGCTGCAGGACTGCTTTCTTCTTTCTGCTCACTGCATTTCTCTTGATTAGTCCCCATACAGGTGACTCCTAGTCATTGACTGGATAGTGATAGAAATCAACACTTTACTCCATTTTTTAGACAGGTGTTCTGTATAAATATAATAAAAATCCTCTTGGAGTTTGTTTGGATTTAGAAAGAACTCAGAGAAATGCTTCTCCATTCTGCCCTCACAGGCATGACATTTCAGTAGCCATCTCTGTACTTTGTTGGGGATTTTTCTAACTTAGTCCTTAATTTTAATGTTCCGTACTTTAGAAAGATATTGTAATAAGTCTTTGACAGGGAGACAACAACTTTATTCCATAGTTATTTTTCCTCTGTAATCAAAAGTTCATCTGTTTTCCTTTTTCTGACCTGTTTTCATGGATTCCCTTTAAGGCCCATCATAATACATACATACATACATACATACATACATACATACATACATACGTGTGTGTGTGCGTGCGTGCGTGTGTGTGTGTGTGTGTGTGTGTGTGTATGATCATACTTAACAGAGAATCTCACTTGTTGTTGTTGTTGTTGTTTTTGAAACAGGGTCTCCCCGTGGCCCTAGCTGGCCTGGAACTCACTATGTAGACCAGATTTGCCTGGATCTCACAAAGATGCACCTGCTTCTGCCTCCCAAGTGCTAGGATCAAAGGCCTGTGCCACCATGCCCAGCTACTTTCCTATGTTAGACCTAGAAAAGAAAAATACTCAAGTGACCAAAAAAATGGCAATTCTAGAATTGAACAACTTAGGAAATGAGACTATCTTCTTCAGATAAACCAAAGATTTCCTTTACCCCATAGTTTTCCTTTCCCTTATCCAGGAGGAGAGTGCAGGTCCCACCCAAACTTCTCCACAGTGTATATGGACTGTATTTGACAGATCCCTGTGACAGACATAGAGGGTCAGTCAGTAGTAACCGTCACTGTTCAAAATCTGAACCTTGAAAGCTGTTCCAATACAGCTGACATCAGGCTCAGATAAATAGTGAATTATGGTTTGTAACAGGAAAAGGCAAAAGATGAACTCCCAGTTTCCCTTGGGACCATGTGGATTGGGAATTAAGTAGCATGCCGCCCTAGGAATGCCCTTTGGCAAGTAAGCCCAGGGTTTCATTGTGTTGATGAGGATCCTGGGCAGTACACTAACTCTTTGCATCCTCAATCTCTCTCAGGATGAGGAAGACTCCTTCGTGATGAAAGCCATCATCCATGCCATCAATGATGACAACGTCCCAGGCCTGCAGCACCTTCTGGGCTCCTTGTCCAACTATGATGTGAACCAACCCAACAAGGTATGATTCTCTGCCAGGGGTACTGGAGGGGTGTATCACAGACTCTGCACCCAAAAGTCCAAGTTTGGAGAGACCCCAGGTACTTCCCTATTCCCACCATCCAAATAGAACCTCCGTGCTGTGGGGGAAAATCCCTCCTCTTTATAGTGATTCCATTTACATATAAAATCATTGTATTGATTTATTTTTATTTATTATTATTGTGTGTATGAGTGTATTGCCTACATGTATGTAAGTGCACCCGTGTCATGCATTGCATACGGAGGTCAGAAGAGGGGCCAGATCGCCTGGAACTGGAGTTGTGGATGGTTGTTAGCTGCCTTGTGGGTGCTGGGATTCGAACCTGGGTCCTCTGCAAGAGCAGCCCATGCTCTTTACCACTGAGCCATCTCGCCAGCCCCACAAATGAAGTCTTTTTTCATCAAGGGCCTTTCTTCCATTCCCAGTTGTACTATTGCCATGAAAGTTTGTATCTTCTCCTGCAAGTAGCAGTGTCCCCTTTGATTATGAAAGAGGAAGGGCTTCATGCTCTTCTGACCATCTTCCCTTCCTGTCACATAGCTGCAGCTCTGTGTGTGTGTGGAGATCTTGGGAGTGGTGTGGGGACAGCAGGGAGGTTACAGTAGTGGTAATCCAGGCTTTCTCTTTCCTACCAAACCTGAAAAGCTGTATTTTTTCCTCCTCTGTTCCAGCATGGAACACCTCCGTTACTGATTGCTGCTGGCTGTGGGAATATCCAGATACTACAGTTACTCATAAAAAGAGGCTCAAGAATTGATGTCCAGGATAAGGTCATAATTCTGTTTCATTAAAAATGAATTCATTTTCATGTATTTCTAAATGTCTCTTGAGTGTAGGGGCAATAGAGAAGAAACATGCATGTCTTTTTTGTGATTTCCTATAAAAGAAGGTGAACTGCCTAAGTAGCCTGTGCGGTCTGATGTATTAGGAAAAGGCTCACATCGATCTTCCTTTGGGAGGGGGGGTCACCTCAATGCGAACGTTTCTTTGTACCAACCCCAGATTTTACTCCTTGCAGATCACATTTAATCAATGGTATTACAAGTCATGTTTTAAATTTTTCACTATCAACTTAATCTAATCAGAAGTTAATTTGTCTGCATGTTTATTGTGCAACTGAGTAAGGACACACTTTGTGGGGTAGGCTGCATTGGAAAGGCAGACAACTGCGATAATCATAACCATGGATCTGTCATCAGCTGCAAGACTTTCAACAGAGCTATTAATAGGCTGGTAAAGTTGACTCTTGAGAATCCACAGGTTTACTTCCATGATTCAACCAACGACTGAAAATTCCAGAAAAAAAATTTTGGAGTGTCTTTCTTCTTATCATTCTCTCCCCTGTACAGCGTAACAGCTGTTCCCCTGGCATCTCCATTGCACTGGGTGTTAAGAGCAGTTCAGTGGTGATTTAGGGTGTACGGATGGATGTGTCTGGGTTGTGTGTAGGCCACACCATTTCATAGAAGGGTCTTACGCACCTTTGAGTTTTGATACCTATGAAGAGACCTGGACCCAGTCCCTGCGGATACTGAGTACAGAGGTTGAAATTCTAGCCAGAGGTTGAAATATTTTTTTAATGTTGTACATGACCATGGTACAGCTGTCAAAACCATGAGACTGAATGGGCTTTTGTCTTGGAAGGGGCTCTTCTGGGTTTTTTGTAATCACACAACAAGAACGGAAGCATTGTGATTCTGAGGGGTGCGTGAGTCCAGGTCTGTCAATGATCTATATGTGATTCTACACTGATTTCTGTGCAGGGAGGATCCAATGCCATCTATTGGGCCTCACGGCATGGCCACGTGGACACTTTGAAATTCCTCAATGAGAACAAATGCCCTTTCGATGTTAAAGACAAGGTAAGGCTACACCTCTTAGGAGGGACAGAGGAAATGACATGGGATGCATTTGAGAGCTGGTCTGCCTTGTGCACCAGAACCCAAAGATAGGGATTGAAGACCACAATCTTCCTGCAGGGAATTTAAAGTGGTTTCCTTTTGCCCCACAGTGGGCTTGGCCCCATAATGAAATCTGCCAGGCAGGTGGCCCAACTTGCAAGCTGTGGGCTGTTCTCCTGGTAACATGAGCACCCACAGCTCTAACAAGACAGGCAGAGACTGGATTCCTGATTTTCTGAAGCCTCTATGCTTTTATGCAGATCTCTACCACTCCTCCTTTGAAATGGCTCACAGCGCTGGCCTTACAGTTACTGGCACTAGGTAGTTAAGGAGATAATAAAGTAAAGATTTTTGGAGACAAAGGTGTTATTAAAATTTTTTATTTTCCACACACTACACATTGATATGCACGTGTTTTACTTGGTCCTCACAGCAGTCCTCTGAGAAGATGGTTAACACTAGTAGCTCACTGCACCTAGCACTCCTTCCCATCTTCTCGTTCCTCTTTTACTCTTGTATCACATTTCTGTTTCCAATACTTGTGGGCTGACCTGTCATGTTCAGTCAAGCCTGCCACACCCTGTGCAGGGGTAGGACACTGCTCTATCCCTAAGGCATGGCATTCACATCAAAGGCACTGTGTGTCTGTTTTCTCTTTCTATGACAAAATAAAAGTTGACTTTAAAGGAGGCAGGATATGTTTTGACTCATGGTTTCAGAGGTTTCCATTGTTGGCATCGTTGGCTTATGGTAAAGCAGAAGATGGGAAGGAGAAAGGGGGGAGAGAGAGAGCGAGAGAGAGAGAGAGAGAGCAAGAGGAGAGAGACAGCTTCCACTGGATCCCATCTCCTAAAGTCCTTTCACACAGAGTGGGACCAAGTTTTTTTTGTTGTTAGATATATATTTTCATCTTTTTGGAGAATTTTATATGTGAGCATCGTATTTGCATCATTTCTACCCCTCCGAATCCCCCCAACTCCCTCTCATGTCACTCCTCACCCCCTCACAATTTTTTGTCTCCTTCTTTGATTATTATCATTGCATATTATATATATATATACACACACATTTATAAATATACATGTGTAATGCGCTGAGTCCATTGAGTTGTGTTCATGTGTACAGGTGTTTAGGGCTGCTCACTTGGGATTAGATAATCTTTCATTTTTTTAAAGATTCCTCTATTTTTATTTTATGTGTATGAATGTTTTGTCTGCATGTGTGTATGTACACTATATGTGTAGAGGTGCCCTTCAGCCCAGAGGGTATCAGATACCTTGGAACTAGAGTTACAGACAGTTGTGAGCCACCATGTGGGTGCTGGGAAGCAAACCCAGGTCGTCTGTAAGATGCTCTTAACTGCTGAGCCATCTCTTGAGTCCCTCATATCTATTTGCTTGCTTTTTTTTTTTTTTTTCAAATGTCAGTTCTGAGGACTGAACTCAAGGACTAAGTTTTTTTTGCAAATGACCTTTGAGAAATATTTAAGCTCCAAACTGCAGCACCATATTTATTACAACAGTTTTTATGACAGTTGACAAAAACTGTCTCATTTAATCTTCTTGGTTTTTTTCAGTTACTTGATTCTAATACTTTGGGAGGGGCAGAAATACGTACCTAAGGACTTGTATTTGTTCACAGATACTTGTTGTATGATCAAATTGTGATGTTCTTAAAAATCTCTTGAGAATGTGAGCAGTTTTAAACACTGACAATGAAATGAAAAACCTGTTAATAAATGAAACAGCATCTTTAAATACTTGCTGGATGATGAACCTAATACTTAAAGAGGATTTTTGAAGATTGTTTTTTAAAGCCAAAGAGCTAGAAGGATTCATAGAGAAAGGAGGCGAGATGTGGCCTTTAAGGGATGGGAGCATATTCTGCCCCAGGTCCCTGACCTGGACCTCCGGGAGCTTGAGGGAGAGTGTGAGGGTACAAAGGGGAAGATGTGGACCAGCATTCTTGGGAGTCTTTTTGAGTTGTGTTCTCCACACTTCTGCTCATAGAAATGGCTCTGACTCGTGGTTCTGTTTCTTTTGCAGTCTGGAGAGACAGCCCTTCATGTGGCAGCTCGCTATGGCCATGCGGACGTGGTTCAGCTCCTGTGTAGCTTTGGTTCGAATCCCAATTTCCAGGACAAGGTGGGTTGTGGGAGCCTATGTGCTTAGTCCCTTGCTCTGTGCATCAGTACACGGCAGCCAGGTGATCCATGTGTCCTCTCCAGTTAGGTGTCTTCTCATCTACTGCAGGGTGCAGGTCTGCCTCAAACAGCACTCTGCAATGTACAGCAGTATCATTGCCTGCTTCCCTTCTAACCCCATCACTCATTCGTTTAATCCTCTGCAGACCCTTTTAAGGTGTGTTGCTGTAATTAGCATCCTTGTTTTACAGATGAGGAAACTGGTAGAAAAGTTCCACAGTTTCCTCAAATTCTCATAAGCAGTGAAACCTGGGCTTGAACCCTACCCAATATGGCTTCAGAATTCACATTTGTGAGCGCTACACCGTCACGGCCTCTTGTAAACAGATATGTGTCTGATGATGGTGATCAAGAAAGTACAGACCTTTCAGTCTTCATGAACCGCCAGGCCAGCACTTCCTTGACTAGTTCAAATATGGTTATTGGGATTGCTTCCTTACAAAGTAGCAATGCTCTCCGGCGTGATGGTGCACGCTTTTAACCCCCATACTTGGGAGGGAGAGGCAGGTGGATCTCTCTGAGTTCAAGGCAAGCCTGGTCTACATAATGAGTTCCAGGCCAGTTGGGGCTACAGGGAGACCCTGTGTCAAAAAGACCAAACAAAAGAAAACAAAACAAAGTAGCGATGCTCCTCTGACTCATCCTGGAGTTATATACACCACAGAAATTGAGACATGAAAATTGCTAAAGGAATTCTTGCTCAGAGAAGTGCTCTCCTGTTATTATTAGTTACAGACAAAGGCAATTTAGCAAGAAAGATGCTGTAAATCCACCCACATAAAACAAGCTCTCTTGTTCAGAAAAGCTGAGCCAGTTCCAGCATGGCCCCAAAACTCAGTGCCAGTAATGTGCTGAGAAAGCTAAATTCACCCAACACTCATATTGAAGGAAAAAGTGACTGGGGAAGAGTGTTGGGTCTGCCTTCTTAATGGCAGTGGCTTCCACTGGTGCTATCACGTCAGATGACTATTTTTGCTGCATTGGCTGCACGCTCTGCTCCTTCACAGCCTTGTATTTCTTTCCCATTGTTGCTTTCTCCTCCTCTGTGCTTGTGACCTTGGCCAGGAAGAAGAAACCCCACTGCACTGTGCTGCCTGGCATGGCTATTACTCTGTGGCCAAAGCCCTTTGTGAAGTTGGCTGTAATGTGAACATCAAGAATCGTGAGGGAGAGACCCCCCTGCTGACAGCGTCCGCCAGGGGCTACCATGACATTGTGGAGTGTCTGGCTGAACACGGAGCTGACCTTAATGCCTGTGACAAGGTGCTTTGCAGGAACAGTATGGCACTCCCTGTGGAGTGATCTGGTGGGCTAGAGGGACCACAGGACTTGGCCACCCATCTCCCAGAGTTAACAAACTCGAATGCAGAATCTGTAACTGTGTTCCTCTCCTGAATTACAAACGTTCTGTGAACTGCCTTCTACGTAGTAACTGATAATGGTATATAACAAAATTTACAACTTGACCATTATTTTAATTTTAACCTTTTAAACTTTCTTGTCAGGACAGTGACGATCACTGAACTGGCACCTCAGTGTTAATTTTTAAACACATAAAATTAGGTGCTTTATCTTCTTTAATTTAATAATAAAAATAGAAATAGTTTATTTCTTTTCACCACCTACTCTTTTGTAAAAAAAGACAATAAGCCAAACTCTTATTTGGTAATTTCAATTCTAGACAAGGTGTTCTATTTTTACCAAAGCAGATTGAGCATAATCAGCTTGAGCTTGCACTTTAAAATGACAATGCTGGTGCTGTATACAGTTAACTGGGGGTGCTACCGTTCATGTATTAACTGTTTGTGGAGCAGTGCCTCATTACAGAGTGTGGTTCTCAGTTGGAGGCAGCTTTACCCCCGGGAGAGTTTCTGGTGATATCTGGAGACATTTTGGTTGTCATAGCTGGGGGTAGGGGCTGGCCTCTAGAACCCTGCTTACTCCTAAACCCCAAATGATGAGAATGGTGGGTGAAGAAACCCATACAGACCTGGTAGAGATGTGGTAGACCTCCCCAGATGCCTCCAGCACCCAGCACGTCTATTCACCGGAGGGTTCTGTAATGGTGGAATTAATTCCCAGGCCAGATTCTGTGTTATGTAGACATAAAACAAGTTATATCTCCTTTCTATGCATATGAAAGCCCTTGGGTAAATTATTTCTGGTTGCTTTCTCAGTTTTTCCTGGTCTAAAATAAAAATGGTAGTTTCTTTGTCTAAGAATTTAGTGACTATGGCTAGGCAAATTTTTAGAAATATTTTATTATTTTTATTTTGTGTGTACGAGAGCATTGCCTACATTTAAGTGCACCCGTGTTGTGCAATGCCCTTGGAGGCCAGAAGAGGGTGTTGGATTCCCTGGGACTGGAGTTAGGGTGGTTGTTAGGCACCATGTGGGTGCTGGGACTTGAACCCGGGTCCTCTGCAAGAAAAGTCAGTGCTCTTAACGGCTGAGCCAACTCTTCAGCCCTTAGGCAAATGTTTTTAAAAGTGTTTTTCAAACACTTCTCTTTCACAGACCATTGGCACACCAAAAGTAACTTACCAGTTCTGATAGAGAGGGTTAGCATCTTTCTGTTCTACTGGCTGAGCCTAAGTAATTAGCTAATGGTCAGTCCAGGCTGAGATTTTTTTAAGTGAATTGGATAAAGCCCCCCTCTTTCAGAGTTCCATCAGTGACTTTTGAAGTCCTTAGGCTTTTGTGGTAGCAATCCTGTTTCCAACTAAGCCTCACAAAGTGGGAGCAGGAAAGGAGGAGAGACAGGCCTGAACCTCAGTGAAAAGCACTCATGGCCTTTGGCTTGGTTCCAGGATGGACACATTGCTCTTCATCTTGCTGTGAGGCGTTGTCAGATGGAGGTCATCAAGACCCTCCTTAGCTATGGGTGTTTCGTGGATTTCCAGGACAGGCATGGCAACACACCCCTGCATGTGGCCTGCAAAGATGGCAGCACACCTATCGTGATGGCCCTCTGTGAAGCTAGCTGCAATTTGGACATTTCAAACAAGGTAAGTGCAGAGGATGGGATCCCCAGGATGCCTGTGTGTCTGCCAAGCCACCTGCTGCTGGGTCTGGGCTAAATTTTTATTTGTATCTCTTCAAAGTTCAAAATGATTGTCAACCTGCATACACTTGTGTTTTATAGGACAGTGCCATTTTGAGCTGTGTGTGTCTTTTGGGTAATTTCCTATACTTCCTGCCTATCCTGGCTTCCCACTGCTGGACTCATGGGATGAACAGGGTCCGAGCACACATATGCACGTGCTCCTGTGGAGGAATCACAGGCCATGGTACAAATGTAGGCATCTTTCTGGAGCACTAAGAAATGGTGGTGACACTGGTTTGATCAAGGTTCCCAGGACTGTTGGCTGTCTCATCTGTCTGCATTGAGATGTCTGTCACAACTTTCTAACATGAACGTGTGTGTGTGTGTGTATATGTGTTTAAAACAAAGTTCTAAGATCAAGGGAAAGCTATCCCCTTGTGAATGATAAGGGAATGACAACAAATTGCATTTTTCTCAGTCCATAAAAAGTTCTTTGTGCAGATTTCTAGACATTGGCTCCCCACCCCCATTTCCCTGATTTCCATCTAGATTTTCAGTATAAAATGAGAACAGCTAAATATTCATGTAGTTTTAGCCCTGTAACTGTATGAAAGGCAAAAACACTATTCTCCTCTGATTGTGTTAAAAACAAAGTCCAAGAGGAATTAATTTTAATTATGGGAAAAGTTTGTTTATAAATGGTGGATATGGTGCCGGTAGGGTTTTATGATTTGTTTGAGGTAAAAGAATTGATAACTGAAACAACTGGAGAATTATGTTTCTTCAGAAAAAATATTTCTCTTGCATATCATGTGATTGATTGTAGTAGAAACTGAAATTGGCAGTACTTCCTTCTTGGAATTTGCAAAGACAGTACCTAGGTCCTAGCCATGAGCAGCTCCTTGTTCCCTTCTTTTATCCTTTTCTAATCCTGCCAAGATGTCAGTGGTTTCAGGGGGAGCCAAGTGGCTTTCCTTATAGGATTCTTCAAGTGAATTGAAAGTGGCTCCAATGAACATACACTCGTTGAACTACGTTTAGTCTTGGCCACTGACTGCACAGTGAGTGCTCTGTGCACAGCATCTGGGGTACTGCAGCACATTTCTTAGCATGAACAACACCTCAGTTCAAGTCCCAGTATCCAGAAAACACAAAACAAGTTATGTTTTAGCCCATGCCTAAAGGGAAAAACTTGTTAAACGTTTTCATTAAAAATCCAGCAATGCTGGGCATGATGGCACCCACCTGAGTTTCCAACACTTGGCATGTGTAAGCAGAAAGATATCGAGTCTCGGGTAAGCCTGGGCTACATGGACAGAGCCTGTCTGTAAAGCAAACACCCATCAAGACAATCCTGTATTTCCATGTTGAAAAGCAACTACATTGGACTGAGATGTATCTCAGTGGTGGATGCTTATCTAGTATACGCAAAGCCCTTGGCTGTATCCATAGCACCACAAAAGTGAACAAACGAGAAACTTGGTTTATTTGCTGGAAATGTTTTACTACTTCATGAACTGGCTTGTTGATGAACTTGGTATTTCTACCATATATGGCACAGCAATGGTGCATAGAGGGCATTCATGATGAGATAGATTTTGTCACTCCATTGCGCTCAGCTGAGGTAAAAATCATGCGTTCCACACACAGCCCCTTAGAATTGACAGCAAAGTTCAGACCCTTATCCAGAACCCACATGGAGCAGGAATGTGCTGGTTGTCTGCAGCTCTTTCTGACCTTATTATAACATGAAGAGTGTCCTAACATAGGAGGGAGCACGGGAGGAATAGACTTTGCTTTATAAAAGCCCACCCCTGTCACCAAACCCAGACCTTCAAGACCTTACCCACTCCTGAGAGACAGGTGTCAACCCCTTCAGAGAGTAAAGCACTAAAGACCTACTTACCTGTCACTAGGCCTCACCTCTTAAAAAGCTCTGCTGTCTCTCCGCATCATTGCACTGTGAATCAAGTCTCCAGTACATGAACCTTTGAAGCACAAACAGTAACCAAACCATATCTCTCTCTCCATCTCTTCCTTTCCCTCTGCCTCTGTCCCCATCTCTCTCTGCCTCTCCTCCCACCTCTCCCTCCTCTTCTGCCTCTTCCTCTAGCTCTCCCTCTGTCTCTCCAGCTCACTGTTTCTTCCTCTCCCCACTCACCTCTTCCCCTCCTTCTCCTCTTCCTCCTCCCCCTCTCCTGTTGATCCCGTCCCCATTCCTCTCCCTATTTCCTTCTCCCTTCCCCTTCCTGTCTCTCTGCTCTTCCCCTCCCCTTCCCCTTGCTCCTCCTCTTTCCCCCCCCTTCCCCCCCTTTCCTTCTTCCTCTTCTCAGGTGAGGAAGTAAAGGAGCTTGAACTTTGTGCAGGAAAGTAAGTGGAGGTTAGTGTTTCCCCAGCCCACCCAGCCCATCTTTCCTCAGGCAGCCATTCGTTGGTATAGACACGGCACGATGGCGGGTACAGACACAGCACCGTGTCTCCACTCCTCAGGCAGGCAGGCAGTCTCTGACTCTCTCTCCATGGTGCTGCCTTGCATTTTTCTCACTAGATTAGATTCATCCAGAAGTAAACGTGACCATTCACATCCTACTCCTCTCAGTATGTGACAGGATCTTATCACTCTCTGAGAGGTAGTGGCATTTCTTCATGTCTTGTTCTTGTGATTTAAAGGTTGGGACAGCAGCTGTTTAGCCCAGCAGAGTTAGCAAGCACACGTTAGAGAAAGGAAAAGATGACAGTATACTTCTAAGGCACAGAATGCCCCCCGAGATCTGGGAGTGAGCATCATGTGATCAGTGCACTGTGCCAAGCACCTGAGGTTCTGTGGATGCTGCCGTGTTTGGCTCTGCCTTCAGGCTGCCTTTAGAAAGCCAGGCACCAACCAGAAGTAGCAAGTTCTCCTCTTGTCAGCCCTGTAAGGGCAGGCTTACTGTGCCACAGAAACACAAACACCTCGCTGTTAAAGAATCAGAAAGGTTTTCAGGGGGGACATGATAATTAAGTCTATACCGATGACGACGTCAGGAGAGCCAGTTTCAGACTGATCTCTGCACGGGCCTGTCTTGACTGTTGTGGACGCATAGCAAGTGTGGTGTGGCTGTTGAGAGAGGAAGTGATGCAGAAAGGGAGGAGATGCAGTTAGAAGGCATCCTGAGCTTCCGATGGTGAAAGACGTGGAGCGTATTGCTAAGGAATTGGAATTCCAGTTTTTCCAGGCATGCATGGAGGGAGGTAGAGGCAGGAGGGTTAGAATTTCAAGGCCGGCCTGGGCTACACGAGACCCCTGTCTAAAAACCATGGAGGTCCTTCAAAAGCATCAGTTTTCTTACCCCTTTTCTTTCTTGTCTCCCTCTGTATAAAACTGTACATTGTGTAGCCAAAGTGAGATCTTTCTTACAGCTCCTTTTCCAAACATTTTTCCAGATTGTAAAGCTATCTCTCTCCTCACATTAACCTAAGATGTTTGAAAGTTATGGTCTACTTTTAAATCACTATAAAGATGACAGTAAACCAAACATGAGTATGTGCACAAATCACAGGGTTATTTAAGGATCCAGAAATTTCTTCAGTGTCTGTTCTGTGCGGGCTGCTACGTGAATCATGGCATAGCCATGCACTGAGTATCATTCAGGCATTCAAAAGCATGTGATAGATTTAGTTACAGATGTGGAAAAGCATTCACAGTCCATTGTTGGTGAATAAAGCAAGTACAGGAGAATGTAAAGAGGGATCACGTCTTATCTTTCTCAATTATTGTTCTCTTACTGAAGATTCATAGATAAGAGCTTGGAAGGAAATATTCCAAAATGTTGCTAAAGAGAGCTCAAAGCAGTGAGTACGGGGATGCGGAGAAGCGATGTTGAGGCCTTTAATTCTCTTCACCATCCTGTATTGGAGACTTTAAATGACTGCGTACCGACTTCACGTCCAAACCCAGCAAACACTGTAAGCAGAGATCCCGAGCTTTGACTACATCATTTGCAGGGTCTTGGTTTATTCATGATTCCTGCAGAGCAAGTGAAATGAAATGGACCTGTGTCTGTGGGCAGTTCAAATTTAGCAGCGTTTGAGGAAGACGAGCACATAAACGGGGAGGAAGCTGCTGTTTCGTTCTCAGATAAGCACAGTCACCGATGGGGGCGTGTGGCTGTTGGGCATTCCATAGCGTCTCGGACTGTGGCCTCAGACTGGATGCCACCCCTGCTTCCCATTCTCCATAATTGTTTTTTCAAGACATTTGCTTTTATCACAGCCACCACCAACTCCCGAGAGCAGACATACAAAGATTAAGTGTCACCGAGGAAAGCCAACAGCATCGTGTCCCAACCCTGAGCTACCTTGACCAAAATTCACCTGGTATCTCTCAAAACCCAAAGAAAATCCTCACTGCTCCTGTGAATTCACAGCAGTGCCCTGAGGTGCTATAACACACAGCTCTAAGCCACAGGCATAAAAACCATAGTGGGTATGCCCTCAAAATTTTACCTCATTAGAGTGCCCTCGGGGGCTGTCCTTCCATCTCTTCTTCCTGGCTGGCTAAATTTGAACCATGGTGCAGATACTTCTGTGTGGGGCGCTCAGGCCCTTGCCTCGTTGGCTTGATCTCTGCCAGCCAGCACAGCAGGAGGCTTAGTGATGGCCTGGCAAACCTCCTCATTCATCCTTTGTAGGTGTTTGAAGCTATTCTTTCAGCAGCACAGTACTTGAAAATACTCTGCCTGGCAGGCCTGCCTCAGTGGGAGCCAGTGCCTTCTCTTTCTTTCTGGTGGACCCCAGACCCCTTACATAATGAGTCTCTTAGAATGTGTTCCCTAACTGTTTTCCTGAGCAACTGTGAAATGTGAACCAAAGGGTCTCACGGGCAGCAACCATGACAACTTCTCTTTTGTATTTTTTTTTTCTCTTTCCAGTATGGACGAACTCCTCTCCACCTTGCAGCCAACAATGGGATCCTGGATGTGGTCCGCTACCTCTGTCTGATGGGTGCCAATGTGGAGGCCCTGACCTCGGTGAGTACCATCAGGTGCAGGTTTGGGACTGCAGAGAGCCATGGAAGCTTCTTGTGCCTGAAGGGCACAAGGAGAAAGGTATTGCTTGGCAACTACATTCTAAAGGCAGACAAGCTGCTATTAAGCTTTAACTCCTCCACCGCAGTTACATAAACATTTGCCCACACAGAACCAATTTAATATCTAGTTAATGTGTCATCTTCTCATTTCGCCAGCCCTGCTCTGCCAGAGTCCCGCAGGTTCTCACTGGCCTTTTTGTTTGCCATGTTACACAACAGTGCCTCTTAGATTTCCATTCGATGTAGGTATTTCTCTTTCATAAGTGCTTCCTGTTGGCCCCAGGACACAGGAGGCCCAGTACCCTGGAGGAGGAGCCGGAGCCCCTCTGTAGCAGGGGGTTGGGGTATGGCAGTCTACCATGAGGCAAAGAGCTGCTCTCTGCCTTTGCTGCTAGGCCTACCAAATATTTTTAAGTAAGACAGAGACCCTATTCCTTTTGCTTCCCACTTCCCATTTCAGATGTAATAACCCCCAGCAGAAGAAACCCTTTGGTTCACAGTTCGTGAAATATCAGAGATGATAGTTGAGCTAATATAATAAGGTGCAGTTCGACTGTGACTGTGAAATATCATTTAAATTGTTGATGATCCAACAATGGGTTGACTGCTTTTGTGGGGAAGTCCTGACATTCACAGATTCGAGCTTTACTGACAGGTTAAGATTCCCGAAGAAGATCAAGTGGTGTTTTGATGTGGCAGCCCACCTAAGGGCCCTGAGCCTGAAAGTAGAGCCTGATTTCAAGGGCTTACCAAACTGGCCAAATCTAGCCTGCCGTGCATTTTTGCCAAAGTTCCACTGGAACACAGCCACACCATTCATTTACCTGTTGTCTCTGCCTATGCATGCTAGAGTGTCAGAGGTGAGCCCACCGAGCCTCAAACGTCTCTCACAAAGTCTTCTGTGGGATGCATTTGCTGAACTGTGGAGTATGATATTTCCTCATTGTCTGTATTTAGATTTTCATAGTACCATTCCCTCCCAAGAGGTCTGTTCTGTGCAGTGATGAACTGTCTAGGCCCAGATATGACTAGTACATGGTGTGGGGTGAGCACACTTCTGAGTACATCTGCTTACCCCTTCAAATCTGTATACCAAATAAAAGGTACTGCCTTGCTATGCAAAGACATGCTAGGCCTGAGGTGCCTTCATCATCCTGTCTGACCATGTCTTAAGCCATGGTTTAGTTAATAAAGCATCACATGCATTTTTATGAGGAAAAATATTTGTCTCAGATGATGCCTCATAGGAAAAAAACAAGATGAAGATGTCATCTACTTACTCCTACCAGATCTGGCAGCTTGGGTTAGAGCCACAAATGTGTAGTCTCTTTGGGGTCCCTCTGTGAGCCTGTGGCCCTCCCTGCTTGCTCTTCCCCCGCCGACGGGGACTGTCTCTTCAGTCCCACCACCATCCTGCTTCATCCCCCCTAACTAACCCTTTCAGTTCCTGGAGACGTTCTGCCCAGTGCTTCCTGACCATCGTAGTGCCTCACCCAACTTCATCATGTACTCACTATAGATGTAAACCAGGAACACAGAAACTTCTAGAAAATGGGAAAGGCATACTGATCAAAGTGTCTTAGCAGTCAATTTATAGTCCCTTGGTGGTGACTATAGTGGTGACAGAGAAGATTGGGGCCCTGGGAAGTTGGGGGTGGCCTTCTACAGGAGCTGGGGCCTGGAATTGCCAGGAAATGGGCAGAGGCTTGTGACAAGCACTGCATGCAGAAGCCTGAGCCTGGTGGCCACCAGCTCCTGTCAGGAATTACAAAGGAACACAGCATGGAGCTCTCTCCATTAGTAAGCGAGGCCAGAGGTCATCTGGCCTCCTGGCTAGGGGAAGGCAGGGCTCTTAGAGCAGGGAGTAGGGTGGCCAGTGTACAAAGCTGTACACTGTCCCTAACAGACAAAACCTGCACCACATCTGTCATTTCAAATTTTCCAGCAGCCACATTAAAGAAGAAAAAAGAAGCAGCAAAAATGAATTTTAGTAGCATATGCAAAATATCATTTCAGCCTGAATATTTTGAAATCATTGAGATCTTTCATATTGCTGCAACTATACCAAGTTTTCGACCTCCTAAGTGTGCTCTGCACTGACAGCATGTCTGTTCTGGACCCCATTTCAGACCTACAGCTGCCCTGCTGGACAGCCCAGCCCTTGGGACTTTGATCTTTCATCTTGTCTAAGCAGACTCCAAACAAATAACCCTTGGTCCCACAGCACCCCCTAGCGTCATGTTACTCTTACTCTGTTCTCAGCTAGGACATTGAAAACAATATTTCTGAGTGCCCCTCACATCTTCCTTCCTGCCTCCCATCTGGCACTCTCCACAGGCTTGTCTTCCATGACCCTTGACTCAAGAGAGGCCCCAGTCACCTTTTGGGAGTTTGTTTCTTTCCAAATTTTTATTATAAATGAAAACATAGATTAAATAAAAGCACATGATCTAATGTAAACCTTGGTTAATTATTATTAGACCTTTGTAGACCTACCTAGGTCAAGAAACAACTTTCAGAGCTACCCCAGGAGCCCCAGAGGCTGACTCCATGGTACCTCCTTCTTTGTCTGGATGTGACCCCCTTTCTGATTTGTGCAGAAATCCTTTTGTTGCTTTCTCATCCTGCTCACCCAAATACCATGGGTTCTTGTTAATCCTGTTTCTTAGTCCTGGACATTCTTGCCTTGAGCACAAAACCTTCCCTGCACCTGTTCCCCGTTTGCCTCTGCTCTGCCTGCCCATCTTTGCCCTTTGGTGTTTTCCTTGTTCTTTCCTGGATATCCACTCCCATTATCCACCTGTCCTAGTTTGTTTCTTCATTGCTGTGACAAACACTCTGACTACTATCAACATGAGGAGAAAAGAGTTTATTTATCTTACATCTCCCGGGTCACAGTTCATCAGGGAGCCCAAGGTAGGAACTCAGGGCAAGAACCTGGAGGTAGGAGCTGGAGCACAGGCCATGGAGGAACGCTGCTTACTGGCTTGCTCCCCTGGCCCCTGCTCGGCCTGCTTTCTTATGCAACACAGGCCCACCTGCTCTGGGGTGGCACCACTCTCAATGGGCTGGGCCCTCCCACATCACTCAACAATCAAGAAGGTGCCCCATGGCCATGGTCGTAGACCAGTCCAATGAAGGCAATTCCCCAGTCGAAGCTTCTTCAACCCAGGTGTGTCAAGGTGACACTAAAGCTCTCCATCACAATTGACCCCTTGTCAACTTGACACACAAACACATCACTATTAAACCATAACCTTTCCAATTCTTGTCCCCAAGATATGATGTTAACATTAATATCACAACATAAGACACTACAACCTTAAAAACCCCCACAGTCCTTAAAAAAATCTGAACACTTAAAAATCCATAGTCTCTTTTAAAAGTCTCTTAACTGTGGGTGGGCTTCTGTAAAACCCAAAACAAGTACTGTCTTATTTCAAAGGGAAGAATCGGGCACACCTAAGCCAAACCAAAGTCCAGCAAAGTAGCTCAAGCCTGGACATCTAGGATTCACTCACGGTCTTCTGCTCCAGAGGATTCTGGCAGCTCCACTGCTCTGACTCTGCTGTCCACAGCACACACACTTGTCTCGCAGACCCAGGCCAGCTCCATTCCACACTTACTGCTGTCCTTGGTCGTCATCCCATGGTCCCGGCATCTCCAAAAAGCTGGGGTCTCCACTGAAATTGAGGCTACACCTTCACCAATGGCCTTTTCTTGCCTCTTGGGATGCAAAGCCTCAGATTCTCTCCATGACCCCTTCAATCCTGGGGTCTTCGCTGCAACTGAAGCTGCACTTTCACCTATGGCCTTTCGTGGCCTCTCAGAGTGCCAAGCCTCAACTGCTGTCTGTGACCCCTTCACACTTTCAACACCAGAACCATGCAGGAGGCTCTTACACATTACCAAGTCCTGCTTCCAGCCTGAGATAGAGGCTGGGGTCCCCTCTGTGTGCTGATCCTAGGAAATACCTCCCTGAAGACTCCACTACAGTGATGCTGGTCTCTTGTTACTTATGGCTGATTTTTTTCAGCCCCAGCTAACCAGCATCAATTGTCCCAGTAAAGCAAAGGTTTACTTAAGGTTCTGGTCTGTTAATCACAGCTGATTCTTCAGCTCCAGCCGACCAGAACCCTTAGATTCTTAATTCAAAATATCACACAAACAGCCCTGATACTCACTGCTTCCCTTTGAAGCTTCACAAGCCAGGCTTCTATTGTTCACAACTCTTTCAGCATAACTGTTCCAAGTTCCACAGCAAACAAACACTAAGCACTCAATGGTGTTTCCAGCCCAAAGTTCCAAATACTTCCACAGTCCTCCCAAAAACAATTGAGTCAGATCCAGTACCCCACTCTCTGGTACCAATTTCTGTCCTAGTTTGTTTCTTCATTGCTGTGACAAAACACTCTGACCACTGCCAACTTGGGGAGGAAAGAGTTTATTTATCTTACATCTCCCGGGTAGGAACTCAGGACAAGAACTTGGAGGCAGGAGCTGGAGCACAGGCCATGGAGGAACGCTGCTTACTGGCTTGCTCCCCTGGCCCCTGCTCAGCCTGCTTTCTTATGCAACACAGGCCCACCTGCCCAGGGATGGCACCACCCTCAGTGGGTGGGGCCTTCCCACATCTCTCTGCAATCAAGAAGGTGCCCCATGGACATGGTCATAGGCCAGTCCAATGAAGGAAATTCCTCAATTGAGGCTCCCTCAACCCAGGTGTGTCAGTTGGCACTAAAGCTATCCAGCACACCACCCTACCTTGTTTCTGAGTCTCACCTCCATCCCCAGATCTGCAGTTTCACTTGTACTCCAAGGCCTACCTCCATGCCTCTGGTCCCTGCTTGTCCTTGGAGCTCAGGCTCAGATGCCACCTTGGAAAGCTCCAGCCACTCATACCCTGTGTATCTTCAATGCCTAGCCCCTCCAAAGGCCATCTCTCTTGCAAGTAAAGCAACCTAGACAGTTATCAGGAGCTCCTGATTGGAGATACAGTGTCCAATAAGGAACTCTGCTCAGCCCAGAGCAAACCAGAAACTCCGACTTGCCATTGGGATTATTTCAGAACTTTGAGGATGCATTGAGGATAGGGTGACCCTGACAGGGCAGCACCACTCTTCAGAGCACACAGCTAAGCTCCACATTTAGTCTGGGGCAAATGTTCTCAGCCTGGCCATTTTGTCCCCAGGACACCCTTGGAATTATCTAAAGACAGTTGATTTTCAAGCTAGGGCTGAGAGATGTGCCTGGCACCATTAAGTAGAAGGCAGAGATGTTAATCATCACCCTGCAAGCCAGAGAGAACCTCCCATGACAGAGAAATTTCCTAGTAATGCCAGTAGTGTCGGTCTAGGGAGACCCCAGGTGTGTTTCCAGAGCAACTGAATTGGGAGACTTGTAGCTAGACAGACTTCAGGTGTCCCTAGGCTTCTGCAGGATGGCACTTAAATGGTTATGATTGAATCCTGATAGAGCAACCATGAACTTATTTTTCTTATGTTTAAAAAATTTGCTTTCATTTATTTGGAAATGGCTTTTCATCTTCTCAATTTCTGAATTTTTAGGGCTCTCAAAAATGTCAACAGAACAGTTATATCCATCTCCCCCTTGGTGTGGTGTGGGCACAGCTATAGCTCCTGTCTCCTGGGAGACACTGAGATCTCCTGCATGTACCTCACTGAGAACTGGGTCTGGCATGGGCCGTTAGGTTCTCAGGAGATGTGTCTGTTCGTGTATAGAAATGAGAATAAATCTCTTTGTCTGAAACTGCAGCTCTGTGAAGTCTCTCAAAAGCAAACATCAAAGTGCTGTGGGCCCTTAGGTCCTCGTTTTATATTTACCAACATCTCAAAGTAGCAAATTGTGTGCTAGACTCGGCCTTCTCTTTGGAAGGCACAGTGGTTACCAACAGCGAGCATCATATGGGGATACGGTTTATGTGTGTGAGGATGTAAGACACCAGCTAGCACTAAACCAGATTCTCTTGACTCCTGATTAGAGACAGGTACTCAGGGCAGGGAAGAGTCAACCAGAGAATGAGTTTGGATGAAGCCCATGGGTTGAGATGTCTTACTATTGGTACCACAAGGCACTGCTGTGTGCCTTGAACTGTGTCTCTTTTCCCGGGCTACCAAATAAAATAGGAATTCCCCAGATAGTGAAGCAGCCCAAGACATTGCCTTTTTATCTGATTTACTTCCGACACATGTTGTGCTTATTTCTGCCTTGAGTTGATGGATTTGGATCACATGCAGCTCTGCTTTGCAGAGAAAAGCCACTAACCATCTTTCTCCCACAGGATGGCAAGACGGCAGAGGACCTTGCCAAGTCAGAGCAGCACGAGCATGTGGCAGGACTCCTGGCAAGACTCCGAAAGGTGAGCTTCCATCCGGAAGTCTCTATTTGCTTTTCTGCTCAATGTCTTCAGGCTTTTCCTTTGCAGACTCTTAGGAGGAGGCATTGGACACTGGCTTAGGAAGAGCATCTGTTCCTGTCCTGTCCTTTGCATGTCCCTTGTCATAAAACCTAAGTTGTCTATTGGATTTCTTCTACAGCTGGCTGTAAAAACCAGTTTGGCCTCTTTCCATTGCTGTGCTGGTGTCTCTTCTCCCAACTTCTACCACCACCACACAGTGAACGGCTCATAAGAACACTGACAGCCTCTTTCCCCCTTTTTGTTTTGAGTTCTCAGGTATCATTTACCCTATTTATCAAGCAATACCTCTGTAACATTCACAGAAACCCAACAAAAACAACAAATACAGGTGTATAGTTTGCAGCCCAAGTCATATAAATTGAGAGACTTCAAAATGTCCAAACCCTTTAGGCTAAGATCTCTCTGCCTAGAGGTGTTCACTGCAGTCTTATTTAAAACACAGTAGTAAAAATTAGAAATCAATTCCCAATAATACTGTGTAGTAAATTGCCACGAAGAACCAAATGATATTTGGTCTTTCAAAATATTTATGAAGAGGTTTTATTTATGAGTTTAATGCTCAGGGTGTTTCTGGGCTAAAATAAAAGAATATGCAAAAAATAAATTGTGTGCATTTAACCTCACATTGTAACCTCCACTTTGGGGCTGGCGTATGGCTCAGTTGATAGGGTGCTTACAAAGCATGACCCAGGTCTTGGTTTCCATCCCCAGCCTGCATAGAAGCAGAATTGCTGGCATGTATCTGTAATACAGCCCAGTTCCAGCAGATGGAGGCAGAGAAATCAGAAGTTCAAGGTCATCCTCTCTGCTGTCTATGGAGTTCAAGGTCACACTCGGGGCTACATGAGACCCTGTCTTGAATAAAACCTAAAATACTGCTCTTTTGAAGATAAGTAAAAAGAAAATAACAGTGGGGGATTTGATTTTGTTGTTGTGGATTATTAACATTTTCTTTTAAATTTTTTATTTTATGTGTATAAGTGTTTTGCATTCATGGATGAAGTGTACCACATGTGTACATTGCCTCTGGAGGCCAGAAGAAGAAGGTATCAGATCCCCTGGGACTGGAATTACTGATGGTTGTTAGCTACCATGTGGGTGCTGGGAACTAAACCTGGGTCCTCTGGAAAAGCAGCCAGTGCCCTTAACCATTGAGCCATCTTTCCAGCCCTATTAATATTTTCTTTAAACAGTACTATATTTTCCTAGTTTCCTGTAACAGTCTTGTTATGATTTCTACAGAACGAACTGTCTAGTAGTAAAATGGTGATTCAGTTGATTGGTTTATAAGATATTGTCCAAATCAGTCTTGGGTGCCCCACAAAGTCTGTCATGAAGCCTGCTGAAGAGGATGGCGTCTTTCCTTTGACAGAAACAAGCAGTTTGTCTCTCATAATTGTCTGCGATCTGCAAAGAAAAGCATAGGGGATCCTTGTTTTCCTTAGCAGAATTTAGACTTGGAAAGACCCCACTGCTTCAAATGCACGTGTATACTCAGAACCTCTTGGAGTGGATCTAGTTGAGGGATGGTGTCATGGACCACTCACACACTCTTATGCCATTGACACTGTAAACTGACCCAGAGGCAGCAGACAGACAACCAGCCAAGGGACAGAGAGACCTCCCAGGACCTGAGGGATGCATCTCTTCTTTGCTCTGGGGATTCCCAAGGGAGATAAGTCAGGAAACGTCCAGAATCATTGCCAGTAGAGTGTGTTCCCATGCTGTGCCACTGGGCATTGTGTGGTTGAGTGAGAATTTGATCTAGAAGAGCAGGTATGCCTCCCTCTTTACACAGCAAAACAAAGGTGTCAAGAGTCTTCAAGTTGGTCAGCATCGATATTAAACCGTTACATGGTCTCCTCATTTTTAAATTCAATTTCTTAGAAGTAATGTATTAATCAGCTGAAATTTGATAGAAGCCCCACCTCCCAGCCTCTGGTTTGGGCCATTTAGCTGGTGACCCTGAATCAGGGCATGATCACAAGTCAGGCATAAACTGATACTCTCTACCGCAGTTACCCATTGTGGTATCTGTCCATAGGGGCAAGTGAATCTGGTCTTTTCCTGCTGGATGAGCCTGAGGTGTTGACATTTGGTCTTTGTTATCCCATACTGGAGACCTGGGAAGGGTTTCTTAAGTCACTTAACACCTTCACCAGGTATATAGACATGGAGCTCTCAGCCCTCTTCAGTCCCTGGTCTGGCCAGTGTCCCCAAAGATCATTATCATGATTCCCAGATAGTCACAGGCCCTCCCTCAGTTCCTGTGGAGAACATCAATTCCCTGCACTGGGGCCTCTGGAAAGTGTGCTGCCTCGATCTTTCTCACTGTGGAGTGCTGATTACTGCTGATTACTTTATTATGGAGCAAGGGCCTATGGGAATGTACATTCAGTTCATCCTTAGGCAAAAATCGTGACCTTGACAGTCCTGTGGGCTGTGGCAGGGGTTACCCTTTCTCTGGCCCAGCATAGACGTCTGCTGTGCTCTGCTGTGCTTCACTGCCTCTTCCCCCTGCGTGGTCTCTTATTTAGAGAGAAATTTCTAGGCTGTGTGCAAATCCAGAGTACTCTGCAGTGGCAAGCATGGGTAGGGCCCAGGCTCCAGGCTTTCTCCCTTAACCTGTTGCCCAAGTTTTATACGTTGCATTTAAATTGCTGTTACAGTTAAGAGTATAAGTCACAAGAAGCTTTGGGGTGCAGCTTCAGGGTGCCCGTGGGAAGGGTAGGATTTTCCTAGTTTAGAATTTGGAGCTTAGTGTGGGGCGGGTTCCTGCAGTTTGAAGTTTCTTTTCTTTGCTTCCCTTGATTAGGGGCATTTGCATTTGGTGCCTGGATTTTTTTAAAGGAAGGTTGGGAGTGAACATTATAATATCTAGCATTTTGTCAATTATTGCCAACGAGTTCTGTCCTCTAAAGGAGAGATCAAGGCAAAGAATGGTTCTTTTTTCTGTCTCTGATTCAAAGACCCCCCCGCCGCCCCACCTTGCATCTTGAATCCAAGGAGATATCTCAGGCTAAATGAAGGGGAGCAGACAGGGGCACAGACTCAGAGTCAGGTGGCCTAGGTTCCAATCCCACCTGGCCAAGTTCTCCATGGATGAACTAGCCTGTTGCTTACCATTTCTGTGCCTCAGTATCCCCTTGTGTCTAGTACAGGGAGGTGCTACCTCACAGGATGGTAGTGAGGCCTGAACCGGGACAGGAAAGTAATGTCCTGAGAACAGCAACTGCACACAGTGAGCACCACATGTTTGCCTTTGTGGTTGGCACCTTGAAGAGCATTCTTAGAGCAGACTTCAGGGTGTCAATCATGGCAGCTGTGGTGGGGACCCTGGAGTCATGTGTGGTTGACACTCTCGTTTCCCTTCCCCAGGATTCAGAGGATGTTGCTGCAGGAGGTTAGTACAGTGCTGAGATGCTCAGAGATGCTCATCTGGGGTAGCATCTCTCCTCTCTGGGCACAGGGCCATTGCCATGTGCGTTCCCAGCCAGTATGGGGACACCTCAGAGTCTCTCCTGAGACACTCTACCTTATATTATAGCAGGTCAGATTACCTCCCAGTGAGGTGAGCCCAGGTTTCTGTTTCCTCAGGCAGGCAGAGTTTTCTAGAATTCCTGTACAACAGCAGTCATTTTGCCTTCCGTGGCTGTCAACTTCAGCCTCCAGGTGAGAAGCAGCCCTGCTAATCATGTTCAGTCATTGTTCGGATCTCTCTGTGTTTGAAAATAAGTCCCAAACTAAATAACCCAGCAGCCCTTGGAAACATCTGATTCTGAGGTTTGGTTTTGGAAGTCAAGAGTAGCAACCTTGTTGACTGAGGAAGGAGGGTGACAGCTTGCCACAGAAGTGACTGATACCTGCAGAGAAAGACAGGGTAATGCATTTATTTGCAGTTATCTTTGGCTCACCCAGAAAGAGACTTCAGAAATCAGAGGACAGTGGGGGCTCTAGAGGGAAGGGGACAGTCCACAAGAGTGTTCACTGATGCTTTCCTGTCACTCCCCTCCATGTTCTTCAGTGTCTCTTACTAGGGTGCTGTGGGCATTGCGGGTGGGTGGCAGGGGGCCCTGTCTTTGCAGAATATCTTGATCTCCAGGTTTCTGTCATAGCATCTCTTCCTCTCTTTCGTTGTGAAACCCAAGACAATACCTCCACAAGTTCTCGAACTCTTGCAGGCCTTCCCCCTTCCCCTCAGGAGAGCCAGTCAAGGAAGAGGTCAGTACCCTGGAGAGCTGGTGTCTGCCCTCCTTCACTTGCCTCGCTGTGGTGTTCTGAATGAGAATGTCCCCCATAAGCTCCAAGTATTTGGACATTTTGTCCCCAGTTGGTGTTGCTGTTTGGGGAGGTCTTAGAAGATGTGGCTATGCTGGAGGAAGCATTGTCACCAGGGGTGGGCTTAGAGAGTTCTTAAGCCTTGCTGGACCTCCAGTCGCTCTCTTGCTTCCTGTGTCTGCTTGAAGATGTGAGAGCTTAGCTTTGGCTCCTCCTCCAGCCACTTCTGCCACCATGCCTCCCCACCATGAGACTCGCCTGCTTTGGTCAGTGTTTCTGTCACAGAAGCAGAAAAGTAAGTAATACACTCTCCATTCCACTTGATCTCCTCACAGACAGTTAAAGGAATCACCTCCTGTGTGTTCGCCTGTCATTGTACTGACTGGGAGTGTGGTTTTGAACATTTGATGGGGAGGTGATTGGGACTGGACTATGGAAATAGAACCAAAGCTGTCTTGTCACATGGACTAGTAGAGGCCAACAGGAACGGCCAACAGGAGAACTGAGGAGACTGTGCTCATCACTACGCACTGAGGGACATCACAGGCCCAGGGCTTCCCACCCTTGTATTCAAGGGGCCTGCAGGAGCTATCTTTCTGGCAAGAACCCAAGCCAAGGCTAGACCATAAAATAAGGAAGAATATGAGGTGGGGCTGAGCTGT